AAAAGCCACAACCAGAGTACTCATGGTGGTAGCATTAGCCTTTTGTTCTCCTTTATTTGGGCCACTAGATGGGTACCTAGTACAGGCAAAAATGGTATTGGGGGCCCACCACTATCTAACAGACACAACAAAATAATCTGTGTTGATAGATTACTTGTTGGAAACAGGTCCTTACCTGTATCAGAATCAATAAAAAAAATGCTGTCAACAGCAAAGACAGCATATAAAGGATGATCCATATGTTCTTATCACATAAGTTCCATTTGGATTATGTGCCCACTATAAGCAAAATAAACTGCAAGGTATCAGATTCTAATCTGTGAATCAATTGGACTTGGACATAGAGTAAAAGAATTGTAGCTTTCAATGCATAGGTAAAATCTGTACTTGGTAAACAAGAAAGATCTCAAAGACTTGTATCAAAAGCCATCTTTGTTGACTCAAGATCCCCAAAAACATCTTAAATGTGTGGCTCTTTGCTGGAGCAAGCCACCCCATCCTGCAACAATAACCTATAACCTTGATAGGGAAACTAGGTTATAGGTTATTGTTTCCTTTTACCATTTCACCCTTTGCATACAAGTCTCCTATATTTTATGAGCTGTAAAGAGGCACTTAATGCGTGTGGTGGGTAAGAATGCAGGCCATTATGAACATATGTGCAATATTTTAGAACCTCAGTGTTGTTAACCTACATTTCTCTGTCACATAGGAATTTCAGAATTAGCTATTCTTAGTAGTGTTGCAGTTCTAATCAAAACAAAACCTGGAATTTGCACAATATGTGTCAGGACTCCAATGAGACCTAACACGCAGGATGTAAAAGAAAAATGTATACTGGACCATAGAGTGGCCGGACTCTACGTTAGACAGCTAGAGAATAGTCAAGAACAAGCCAGGGTCGAGAGAACCGGAAATCACGAAAACAATGTATGTAAGCCGAGTCAGGAAACCAGATATTAGGATAGTTGAGGTATGTGAGCTGAGTCAAAATAGGAGAATGGAGGGAGTGGCAAAAATGACCTCGCCACTGTTTTTTGGAGGGGCCTGTTTGCCAGCCTCCTGCCCAAAGACTATGGGCCCTGCAAAAAGACATGTTAAAAAGTGACTTCCATGGGAAAATATGCCTCTACCCCTCCCCCTTTTTCCTGTCCTATTGTTTCCCCAGCAGGGCGTTGTCCCAGGGACACTGCCAGACCAGTTTAAACTGGCTGCTTTGTCCCTCCTCAATCTCCCATCAGCCCTTGCTATTGTCTGACCCGCACCTTTCCTTGCACTATAGTGCTCTATGTAATCTATTGTATGTAAATGAGGCTGTTGGGAGTTTAAACGTGTGTATAAATTGTAAGTGCTTGCTTCCTGTTTTACCCTCAAGGCTGCATCTACCATGGGGATTGCTATATCACTATACTCCCCTACAGTGGCGTACACATGACCCATGGGGCCCCGGTGCGAAAATTGATCTGTGGCCCCCCCCCGCGCTTACTCGGCGCGGGTCGGGGCCGCAACACATGGCGGCGGCCACCTGGTCGCAGGGGTTGCAGGGCTGCGACCCCGCGACCGCAGTATGCACACACACTTAAAGGACCACTACAGATACCCAGATCACATCAGCTCAATGAAGTGGTCTGGGTGCCAGGTCCCTCTAGTTTTAACCCTGCAGCTGAAAACATAGCAGTTTCAGAGAAACAGCTATGTTTCACTGAGGGTTAATCCAGCCTCTGGTGGCTGTCTCATTGACAGCTGCTAGAGGAGCTTCCGCGATTCTCACTGTGAAAATCACAGTGAGAAGACTATGAGCGTCCATAGGAAAGCATTGAGTAATGCTTTCCTATGGGTGGTTTAAATGCGCACGCGCGCCTCTTGCCGCGCATGTGCATTCGGAGCTGAGAGGCGGACACTGGGGAGTCCGACGCTGGAGAAAGGTAAATGCTGAAGACACACACACACACTCTCACGAACAGACGCATACACACTAGCTAACAGACACACACATTTACTGACAGAGACACACTCCGCGACAGACATACATACACACTCACTTACAAAACATACACTTTCACTGACAAACACACACTCACTAACATACATCAAACACACTCAGTAACAGACACACACAGTAACACACTCACTAGCAGACACACACCCAATAACAGACACATTCACTGACACACACACTAACACATGCACTAACACACACATACATACACTAACACACACACACTAACACACGCACTAACACACACGCACTAACACACACACACATACACACGCACTAACACACACACACATACACTAACACACGCACTAACACACACACACATACATTAACACACACACACACACTCTAACATACACATACACTTTTTTTTTTATGTAATCCCCCCAGCCTCCTTACCTTTTGGAGTGCTGGGGGGATTCCCTGGGGTCCAGTGGTGCTGCTGACCCTGGTGGGCAGGTGGCCGGTCGGGCAGGCGGGCGCGCGAGGGAGCACTCAGTGATTCCTCTTCAGCGCCCTCGCGCGCTGCGTAGGGATGCCGGAGCCGGAAGATGACGTCATGTTCCGGCTCCGGCATCAGTGCGGTGCGCGAGGGAGCTGAAGAGGAAGCACTGAGTGCTCCCTCGCGCGCCCGCCTGCCCGACCGGCCACCCGCCTGCCGGGTGACAGCAGGGCCAGCCTCGGGGGGGCCTGGGGTGGTCAGCTCCTGGGCCCCCCAGGGGAAGAGGCTGGCCCTGTGGGTACACACTGGGTCGCAGGGGCGGCCGGGCCCCCTGGTGGGCCGGGCCGGGTCGCAGCCGTGACCCCTGCGACCCTGGTATGTACGCCACTGCTCCCCTAGGATTATAATCACTAAGCTCTTGTAAGATCTGTTCCTGCTTTACTCTCTGTAGGAAGAGAGGTTCACCCACTGGAAGCTGGAGCCTGGTCTTAGGTCCAGGGCGAGACCCCAACCAAGCTGCGGCAGATCGTGGGGTTTTCAGCGCTGATGGTGTCTGGTGGAGTGCTTGGAGTCCTCGGTGAGCACTAGGAACATCCATCGGTGGAGGTACCCAACCGGGGTACAGGAGGCTCCGTTACAGAGAGTATTCAGTGTGACGGACCACCTGGTATCCCGACTGGTTGCCTCCACTAATCGCTGCTTCCTAGTAGCCTGGAGTACTGTAAGCACCGCACCGGACACCATAAGCACTGGACACCCACCCTGGATCCAAGCCTAGGATTCAGCATCCAGTGGGTGGACCTCTCCTACTTCAGAGAGTCAGGTATAGCTGTGTAGCTCTTACAAGAGCTAGTGATTATAGCCAGTATAGCAATCCCAGGCAGGTATAGCTGTTATAGCTGGTATAGTTGTTCCCTACAATCACGAGATGAGGCTCTGTGTTGAGAGTGAAGTGAACTCATTTTAATGGGACCACAACTGGCCTTTTATGACACTCCCCCCTGGACCTGAGAGTAAACCATAGTAGAAACAAATACACGATCACATTGGCTCTCAGATCCAGGACGCTCCCATACAAAATAGGTCAATCCCTCCTTTGTACCTGGGAGATAATTGTGTCAAGTACTGTATTAACTCAATTATCTCTAGACACAAAAAACACATTTTTACAAACCCCCCAAAATATCCCCACACTTGGAGATACACACGCATAGTAGACATGTATAGGTGCAACACCCATCTCTCACTAACCCCCATGCACACCACACACAAGGAACTACAGATGAAACAAAAACAAAAAACAAAAAAAAAACCAAACAAACAAACAAAAAACCAAAACAAGCGGAGAACAAAAAACAAAAAACAGGAAAGCAAATAAAAAAGAAGGGGGGGAGGGGACACGGTACATACCATCTCCACATACACCACTACGGCACCTATGTATATGATATACTAGTCAAGGTATAGCAATGTATGTTCGACTCTACTAATGGTACACTGTCACAGCTATCAAAGGTTGCTTGATGTACCGGTGCTTTATAAGGGATGTTAATATATACATCTAATTGTAGTTCTGACACCTAGCCAAAACTGCCAGAGATTTTAATGCAGAGCGGGAACCAAATGGGGGACAAGGTGGGGGTAACATAACAAGAGGGGAAAAGTCAGCAGGGATTGACATACTTACAGGGATCAGGCAAAGAGGACATCGACAAACAGAAAGGGGAAATGGAGACTTGGTAAACTTGCCAGAGGCCACATGACCACCTCACAGTTATTGCGACTTGGGGCACTCTGAACCACCCCTGCCTAACTGACAACCTCCACTACACTGCTTT